ACTACAGTCCTTCCGACCTCCGTTGCCAGCCGACTACAGTCCTCCTGACTTACGTCGCCCGCCGACTACAGTCTTTCCGACATCCGTCGCCCGTTGAATACGGTCCTCCTGACTTATGTCGCCTGCCGACTATAGTCTTTCCGACCTCCGTCGCCCGCCGACTACGGTCCTCCTGACTTACGTCGCCCACCGACTACAGTCCTCCGTCGCCAGTTGACTGCGGTCCTCCTCACCTACGTCGCACGCCGACTGCTATCCTTCTAACAAAGCGAATATGTCGATAGTAGCTCTTTGTATTTACATCATGTAATGTACTCCCTAAGATGTACATCAAGCTAAGACCTTCCACCAAGGAAGGGCCTCATTTGTAATCGACTGCAATACTAGTGGATTCATTCAAATTGGGCTAGGCCCCGTGGTTTTTCCCCCTTTTACAGGGGTTTTCCACGTAAAAATCTTGGTGTCTCATAAATGCTAGACCCTTTCTCTTATCTGATTGCATGCCGAATTTTCGTACAACGCTAAGACGATAAACTTTATATTTCTCTACCGCCACGAATACTCCTGGACGCAACAAAGGTTTTGTTTGGGACGACTTTCTTCCTGCTTATTAAAGCGGCTTTCTAGTATAAATATTATATTTTTGGTACTAAAAAGCCGGTTTACGAAGCAGTAAGAAAGTTGTCCCAAATTAAGCCTAAGACTTCATTTGGGACAACTTTCTTACTGCTTTCTACAACAGCTTTTTAGAATAATTTTTTACAAAAAAACTACTTTAAAAAGCATTAAAAAACTATCCCAAATAAATCCTAATAAAACATCTTGAACTTTTATTTGGTCCGGTGAACGTACATAGAGCTACGTTCGGCTGACACTAAGATCGCAGGCACAAAACGAGAAATACGAGCAAATACCGAGCAATACCAACAATAACGAGAAATACCATTATATGAAGACAAAATACCGAGTAATACCGAGCAATCCCAAAAAATACTGAGTTTTTTCTACAAAAAACTCGGTATTTTTTGGGATTACTCGGTATTGATATTCACAGAGCGGTATACCGCGTTATTACCAATAAATACCTAGCAATACCAACCAAATACCGAGCAAAAACCGAGTAACAATCCTCTGACCAAACGTAGAACTACGTCCCGTCAGAGGACGTAATAAAAGTTCCTTGCGAAGGCCCAATATAGTTTTGGTAAGATAGACGTTTCATATTTGGATGGACGGCCTCATGGGCTTTAACTAACATTAACATCGGTTGTTCAACCTAATTTCTATATAATTTAAGAAAACAATGATAAACAATATTTAAAAAAAGATGAAAGTGTTTCTTTAATGATCATATTTGAATTAATATAATTAAAAGGAGCATATGCCATATTATCATATAAAATATTTTAAAAAATTTCACTACAAAATTGAAATTCTTGAGTATGTATACACAAATATACTTCTTAATTCTTTTTATTTCTTCACATAATTATTTAGAGTTATATTTATAAGCTTGACAAAAAAATTGGGCATTTATGCAACCTTATCACTAATATATCAGTTACTTACATTGCATTAAATCGGTTGGCTGGTCTGAACCTTACAAGAACTTATAAGAAAGCCTAATTAATCCAAATTTATACATTTCAAAACCCGCCCGAAAATTAAGCGGAATTCCTCCGAAACTTATATTCTGTGATTTGATTCTGCCATAAGCGATCTTGCCGTTGTTTTAGTTTAATCCGCACCATCTGATTTTACGCCTTTTCGAATTCCTCTCCCGTCCATTTATTTGGGAGCTTCTTCGCCTTCTTCTTCTCATGTCGGATCGGAAGTCACTAGGGCTTCCCAAGAAAAAGAAATCTTCGCCTTCTTCCATTCCTCCTTCTCCATCTTCTCCTCTTGTTGGATCGGAAGTCGCTCGGGCTTCGCGCGCGTGGTTAAGTTTCTTTGGGCAGAACCAGGTAGGAGGAAAAAGACCGCTGCTCAAGCCTTATGTACATTTATGTTTTGGAAGCTATAATTCTATAGAACATAAGAAGATATACGCTGACATTTCTTTGTCTCTTAGTTATAGTTTGCGTTCCACCATATGCTGTTGATAATTCTATGTTTTATGTAAGAAACTAAATCTGAATCTTGAATTGATCTTTAGCTGCTAATTTGACTCTTTTTGATTGTATCATACTTATGATTTGAACTCAAGGCTGTTTATTTTTAACCGTATATTATTTCTTGTTAGATTATTAATTTTTTTTATCAAGAGAACAAAGGTTAAGTCATCTATTCTCTGTTTCATTTCATCTATTTCACTCCCACCAAGGCCACCATGCTTTTATTCAGTTCTCTTAATTTGATTGTTAGAGTGACATTTTGTCGGGTTTTACTCTCTCCGATTGTTTGGGACAGCCAAAATTCTGTTAATCTCTTTGTAAAAAAACAAATTTTATTCTTGAAGTAAATTTAAATCCTGTCCGTTGAAGATATAATCTAATTTGCTTTGGAGCTGGAATTGACATAAAATTGGTGAATGTTTATACCAGGAAATGCTTAGCAGGGAGCTTTTAATTGCTATTATAGCATTGGCCTCAAATCAATGGTTTCTTTTATTGGATATGATTTGTTTTTATTTGAAATACATTAGCTCCCTTAGAAGACACTAAAAGAAAATAGTGTCAAAAAATCTGTCCGTAAGAGTTAATCACACAGAGTCAGCTTCCATCTTTTAGAATTCATTGATTATTTTGAACTTGTTAAAAATGGTAATGGAATTGGATAGTAATGGCCATGGGAGCTTCTTAAATGATTCAAGAGATATTTACTTTCCAGTATATATTGTTGAATGTTTTTTAAACACTCGAGGAACGATGAGAAATCATATATTATAGAAATGGAGGATGGTGATAATGGTTTACCAGTATTTGTGAAATAAAAAAGCAATGATGGATTATTAGATTTCCTTCAAATAAATGCTACCATAAGCTGAGGACATTGTAGCTTTGTTGGAAAAGTAAATTTTGAAACTAAAAAACGTGCATTTGTAGGAAACCAGAGGCACAATCTAATGATATTGTTGACTTCTCTGACTTTTTGTCGAAAGAAGTTGAAAACACACTAGAATGGAACAATCCTTTGGAGGGTTCAAATGCTCGAATTACTTTGATAATATTTGGATAGGAGAAGTGATGCAATCTCAACAATTCAGTAAACTTTAGATTGCTAGGATGAAATTCATCAAATTAGAGCGCTTTGCAACCAAATTGATGTCCTGCTGCATATTTTTGAACAGTTGCTATTATGCCTTAGATTTGAACAGTATGCTGCATATTTTTTAAAAGGCTTCACTTTCTTGTTGTACTTTCCAAATGTTTTAACTCTAAAATAATTTCCTACTTTATCTGCTTATGTTTTTAGTCAAAAATATATATATTTATTAAAGTACATAAAAATATACTTATTTGAAACATAGTATGATTGTTGTATACTATGATTAATAATAATAATTTGTTTATGTGCTTATAATAGTTATACTTTATTTAAAATAAAAAAGCATGTTTTCATTATAAATAATTTGTTATAATTTAGATATTAAAATGGTATAAAGGTAAATGTAGTTTAGATATTAAATATTTAAACACATTAAACTTTTGTGCTTTTAAAGTAAATCCCCTTGAAAATCTTGATAATTGTTTGGTTTGATAAATGTTAAATATGTTTAACATTTATCTCTTAAAAAAAATTATAAACATTTTTGCATAGTTTAGCGTTGTACCATTAGAAATGTATTATATGTGTTCTTGAAAACCTATAGTAATATTTACCATTTGGTATTTTGGAGTGCAAAATGCATAGGGTAGGTAGCGTTTGTTTTGAAACAATCTATTATATTTATATGTGTAGACTTAGTTGAATGTTCATGTCTATAAATGTGATTAGATATTGTGCATTTTTTTTATTTAAATATTGCAAATCCACTTTTTCAATTACATAAATAGTTTCTGGTTGTTTAGACATAGTTCATGGTTGTCATTCTTTATCTTGCAATTCACATTTCACCATCACAATCTCGGAAGCAAAAAAATTAGAATTGCCTCACTCTATTATTTGAAACTTATGAAAGTTTATTTTAACCTTGAATATATTCTTACTACTATGAAATGTTTAGACTCTAGGTTGATTATTTTTGTTCACCTTAATCATTTTAATTTATTAAAATTATTTTCTATATTCACATAATTTTGTAATATTAGATTGCTTATGATTCATATTATTTTGCTTCATTATGTTTTACTTTATTTTTTTTTTGTATCCCTTCATATTAAAGTTCAAAACTAACAAACAATGTTGGGTATATAAACTTTCATTCAGAATAATTTTATATTTTTTTGCAATTTAAATAATTTATTTTCTTATAAGAAAATAGTTAATATGAGTTTTATTATATCCATTCTTTTAATTGATGAAATGTTCATTTTTTTTCTTAAATAAGGTATTAACAATTATAAAATAAATAATTTATTTTGCTCATAAGTATATTTAAAATTATATTATATTAAATTTTCAAAATTATATTTAAGACAAAATAAAAAATTCACATAAAGTATGAGTACAAAGATAAAAAAATTTACAAAAAAATGTTCATAAGTAATTATATTTAATTTTTCTCTAATTTTTTTTATATAGTATGATTGATTTCATAAAAATCTTTTTTTATTGATTGAACTGTTAGCGAACGGAAAGTGCGGTTGCCATATATTTTATCTTGAGTTTTAATTATGAAAGTATATCCTTATCATAAGAATTTTTGATTATTTATTATATTATTCTATATTTGTTACCTATAAAAATAAATTAATAAATAAATTGCATATAAATAAAATTTAATTTAAATAAAATAGTTTTTTTCAAACAATTTCCTTTACAAAAATGATTGGTTTTAAATTCATCATATCTTCTAATTGTTTTTTCCTCTTTTGTTGATAGATTTACCATACAGTTTATTTTTTTTTTAAATTAAATTTTCAGATGAAATACTATATGTTAGTAAAATTATAATAAAAGATTTGCAACCTAAAGAAAATATATGATATATCTCTTGTAATACATGTAAATAAAAAGTTATTATCACTAAAGATATTGTACGATGTTTTAAATGCTCAAAAGAAAATGCTGATTATAATTTGAGTTAATGTATTTTTATATTTGATTTAAATTTAATTAAATATTAAAATTCTTATTAATATGTTTGTTCATAATTTGTATAGATATTTTATCAAATTATATGTTGAAGATGATACTTCCAATGCAATTTTCACTCTATTTGATAATAAAGCTGAAAGTATTATTGACGTCCCAGTTTTATAATTAGAAAAAATAAAGATAATTATATATGTTATAATATTTTATTTAAATTAAAATTTGATTATATGTGATTTATTTAGTAATTTATTTTTGTAGGTAATAAATATATAATAATATAATAAAATAGTAAAAAATTCTTGTGACAAGGATATGACTTTTATAATTAAGGCTCATGACAAAATATATGGCAATCTTACTTTTCGTTCTCTAAAAGTTCAATCAATAAAAAAAGACTCTTATGAAATCAATCATAATATAAAAAAACAAATTAGATGAAAATTAAATATAATTATTTATGAATTTTTTTAATGAAATCATTTATCTTTGTACTCATATTTTATATGAATTTTTTATTTTGTCTTAAATATACTTTTGAGAAGTTTAAACTTTGTTTATCGAAGATATTTGATTTTATTTATTTATTTTGTATTTTATGTGTTTTATGTTTCGTAAAATTTGTGTTGATATATTCATTTGGCTATGTTTTGCTTCATGTAAGTAATTAATACCTTTTGTTATTTTATTTCAAGAAAATTTAAAAGTTCTTATTTTTAAGAGATTCACTTTTAATCTCTTTATAATATCAAATGACTTTCCAAAATATTTTATATTTGTGCTAATACTTTATATGCATTGTTTATTTTGTCTTAAAAAGATTTATAAGAAGTTTTAAATTTGTTTATTGAAGATTTTTAATTTTATATATTTATTTTGTATTTTGTGTTTGCCTTATGTGTACTAAGATTTGCATTGATATATTTATTTTGTGATATGATGCTTGAGATGATATTATACAATTTTTTTTTTTAAATCGTCTATGCTGGTCCCAAGCTCGGATGAAAAAGGTTGAGGGTTATTTTTTGTTACAATAAAAAAATTTAACAATTGAGATTATCCATTATTATTATTATTATTATTTTTCTAGAAGATAGCTTTCCATTGACTTCTTGTGTTTGTAAATCTTTTTTGGTATGGTATTCAGTTGTTTATAAGTTTATCAAGTAGTGAGTGTCGAGCGTGCGTATTTGAATGTTTCAAGAGGACACCAAAGTCCAAACTATGTTTTGAGAAGTTAATTTATATCATCTATGCTAATCCTTGGTTATTCTTTCTTTTGTGATGCTCATTTATCTTCTATGTTGTGGAATTCTCCCTCCCTCTTTCCTTTTTTACTTGTAAATATCAGCTTTGTTTTTCTTTTTGTACATAGCTAAATTCTTTGAAAATAATCCGGATATCTGTCAAAGTTCCATTGTAGCATCTATAGAGATCAAATTGTTTCGATTTTAAAGTGTTTGGAAGAGATTGGAACTAGGTTCCCATATTAAATTCAGTTCTTATTTGGTACAAAGGGAAGCTTGTTTCTATGTTTGAAAAGCTTGTTTCTATGTTTGAAAAACCTACATAAATGTGAGGATTGAGGACTTTGAAGTCATCTTCAAATTAACTTTTTAATAAAGTACTAATTTAAGAATATTATATTAAATGAGATTGGGTAAGAATATTCCTTCTTATAACAGTAATAATAATAATTTAATTATATAAAATTAAAGAAATGATGGGTAAAAATTATACTCACTACATTTTAAATGAATTGGATGGAGTCTCAAAAATGCTCATGCAAAACAAACATGTACCGGAAAGAAAATGACAATTTTCGGGGCATTTTAGACATTTTAAGTTAGTGTAAGGGTTGTCCTTAATTTTTTTTCCCAAAATAACATGATAGCCCCAGCCTTGAGGTGTGTATAAATTAATAATATAAACAAGGGATATGGCCAACTAGCTTTTTTTTTTCTCTCCAACTCCATACTCTCTCTATTCTCATGGGAAGATCTCCTTGCTGTGATGAGAATGACCTCAAGAGGGGCCCTTGGACTCCTGAAGAAGATCAAAAGTTGGTTCATTACATCCAGAAGCATGGCCATGCCAGCTGGAGAGCTCTTCCTAAGCTTGCTGGTATCGCCTTCTTCCTCCCTTTCTCTTTACAATATCAATTATTTTGTATGAATATGAACATTGGTAAAGAAAGCTTGTTATTGCTCACTTACAGGATTTAATATATGTGGGAAGAGTTGTAGGTTAAGATAGACCAACTACTTGAGGTCAGATATCAAGAGGGGCAAGTTTTTACCTGAAGAGGTACAAGCTATCCTCAACCTCCACTCTATCCTTGGCAACAACTAACTAATCTTTACCATGCATAGCCTTTTATTATTATTTTAGATATATAGTAAACATAATTAGAACATGATAATTTCTTCTTTTATTCATTTTCTATGTAAATTTGAAATCATTACATGTTAGGGATTTCGAAGGTGTTTTTGTAGTTTAAAATCAATCACAATTTCTAGCTACATATCTAAAATGGAACAAACCAAATCCATTAGAAGGTTCTTCGATTTACCCCTCTCTTGCATTGATAATATTTAACCTTTTGACTAAGGTATCTTAAAATTTTTATTTTTTTTTTCTTCTTCAAGTATTTGGTGCAATATATTTTGTGAATAATTGTTCTGGTTTTTCTTATAAATTGGATAAGAATTCCTTTAGATGTGCTATGTGCAGAAAAAATTGTGGCCATAAATTATGTGGTAATGGACAAAAATGCAGCTCACACGGTTGCAATAATCCACAATATAATAGATGATCAAGGTTTAAAATTGCGCGATTGGGTATTGAAGCAATTTTCATTGGTGAGGCAAGGCTTAAGTCTCAAAGCGTTTTGAGGCGTAAGCCTCAAAAATTTGAAAATTGTGTAAGATGAAAATAAATGTTAAAAGTGATTTTTTGTATAATATCAGAATAATATATTAAATAATGACAAAACTTTTTACTGAACTATGAAGTGATAAATTGTCATACATATGAAACTAAAACTTGTATAAGATGCAAAATAACAAATGATAAATTACGTGAAATAAAATTGAAATCAAATATTACATGAACAAAATAGCATGAAATATTTGAATTACTTAAAAGTATATGAATTACAAGTATAAATTGCGTGAAATAGCATGAAATAGATGATATAAGAATCTTCTCTTTTTGGTAATCAAAGTAGATTGGAATAATATATAGTTAAGAACAATTATTTCATTCTGGTTATAAGGGTTGTAGAAATCAATTATCTACAAAAGGATAGTTAAAATCCAACAGTATGATTAGATGTTAATAGCTAATCTTAGTCTGATGACATAAATTTGATGAAAATAGCTACAATTATTGATGGTGGTCATTGGTGGTGATCCTAAAAAAATATATCCCTCCCTCTAGGCGGAAAATGAGGCTTTACTTAAAGCTTTTTAAGATGAATATTTTGATAAATTTAGACAAAATTCAAAACACTTCATTAAATTGTCATATAAATAATCTTGATTATAGAATATTTATTCAGTATTTTAGTGTCTTAATGATGTCAGAATTGAATGATCTTGGACTCAGTTGGAATGGTGTCGGTGAGGCACTGAATTTGTCTATAAACATGCAAGATTTGGAGATCATTTGACCCTTCAATTATTATTATAAGGCTTTAAATTATGTTTCAAGTGCTTGATTTGTACTAATTTGAAGTCCGATTTGATCACTTGTAATGTTGATGGATCGATTCATCTCGTCTAAACTTTGAATTTTTTTTTTTTTTTTGCAAAATTTTATTCCAAAGGATAAGGGACATACAACACTAACCCAACAACAATGAAGCCACAATACATCAAAGACAAGACATGAAAGCATACTCAATAAAGCATATACACAAAGCTGTAGAAAAGGGAAACTTAGGAATGGTAGCTCCCTGCAGTCATCTCGCAGCCAGACACGGACCATCCTTTGGCGACAACCACTCAAAATAGCCTAGAACCCACACAAGCAACCAGCAAGCAAAAGGGCAAACCAATAAGGTTGCCAACAAGCCCGGACCAACAACGGGAAAAGCAGGGAGCCACCTCATCATCGTCCAATATGCCAACAAAGCCCATTGTAACAAAAGCAAGAGATAAATCCAAAGATTATTTCTTTTTATATTTACTTTTATGCCTTTTGTCACCTCCATTAAGCATAACTTGGTCAACAACACACACCACCATGAAACCATACATATAATCATTAACATGGTCACCAAAATCCTCTTCCTCCCCCACACAAGGCATGGAAAGGGTCTCATCCAAATCCAGCAAATCAGATTGAACCAAGATAGAGTTATTCAAAAACCGGGTCACATGAGCTTTCAATTCAATGTTAGAAATAACTGAGATAGGAATAATAACAAATTCAACATTTCCCTCCAAGGCATTAGCAATAGGAGATAGTTCAGACTCAACATTACAAGGTAAATTCGAAATCAAATTAACAGACGGATTAGCAACATTCTGGGCCACAGAGTCCAAAGGAGAAGAATCATCACAAACAACCAACACATGGATTGGCGAATTAGGTAAGCTAGCAGACTCACCATCCCCAGGAACCACATCCACAGACAAATTACTTGAATCAGCCACAACATCCACACACGAAAGACTAGCTTTAAGGTTAAAATCACAATTTTTTTTGATCAAATTTCCTTCATCACCAACACAAATAGTGTTCAAAGGTGGAACAGAAGAAGCATGTTCCTTCTCAACCACAACAGAAACAATAAGAGCTAAATTAGAATTAATAAGAACAATATTATCCCCCAAAAACTTAGCAAAACTCACAACTACAACTTCAGCTGGACTCAACTCTAAAGTCCTAGCCATTGTATCATCAGCATTTTCCACCCCACCGAGATTAGGTACAACATGGGACAAAGAGGGGGGAGTAGAGGGATTCAAAATAGGTTTAGAAACGTCAAGAATAACATTAGACATAGTAGAAGAATGGTGAGGATGATAATTACCCATCACATGTCCGATACAGTTACAAGACATAAAAAAGGGGAAAAATTCTTCCATAACAACTTGATGCACATAGCCCAACTTCTCAGGACCTAACCAAACTTTGTTCGTGTATGATTTAGTGATATCAATCTCCACCAGCACACGAGCAACGGAAGGCCTAGAGCCAATAGAAGTGGCAGTGTCAATCTTCAAAGGTCTGTTAAAAATTGAACCCAAACCGTGAAAGATATGGGGGAAATAGATATGAGGACGAAGCTGCGGAAAAGAAACCCAAATCGGGATCACCAGAGAGTCAACACCAACGTCAAATAGAGGAGACCACTTGGTAAGTTTCATATAACAATTATACAATAAGCAAGATCATTAGCCAATTTGATCAAGAAATGCGATGGAGTAAGCAGAGTGACTGATACTTCACCATTAAGCTTAAGATTGAGGAAGAATTACCGAATGGATTCAAGAGGGGGACGCTTCAAGGGGAAAAGGCCAACTAGCGAAAATTGAAATATAAATGCCAAAGCTCGGATTTACTGCTCTGAAATCCACAAAGAAGGCAAACCACGAAAGGAGGACATCTTAAGTTCTGGAAAATTTACATCAGAGGAAGACCCATAGAGCGCTTCCAAAAACGAACGCTATTTAATCGGACCCTCTAAAAAACAAGGGTCGCTAAGGCGATTCGGCACCATTCCAAGCGCCAGAGATGGGCAAAACGAACACAAAACAAAAAATCAGAGAAAACCACCAGAAGAAGAAGAGGAAACTTCCCTGTAACACCACCGAGAGCGCTGGCGCCACCGAGGGGGTAGCACTAGCGAGGCAAGGGAAACCCTAGCGGAGCTAGAGGGGGAGAGCTGATGTTTTTGAAATAAACACCAAATATTTAATTGTAGTTCAGTTTGATTATAAGTTTACCGAAATCAAAGTTTTGATGATTTTGCATTTAATTTTGAAAATTTTCTATCCTCAAGACTCATGATATCAATTGAATTTTCTGGTGATACCGCAAGATGGATATTACTTGATTATGGTCATACAACGAGGTTAGGAAAAGATGACGATGTGTGAATGCTATAATAATGAAAAATTTATGTAGGGACGTGTAGTTTTTTACGAGAGCATTTTATGATGGAGTCTAATTAGATCTTATATTGTTGAAATATCTACTTACGAACCAAATGAAGTTTAATATTTCATTACTTAGTCTTAAGTTTCCTTAAAGCAGTTTTTTAGTAAAAAAATAAAATTTTTATACTAATTTTTTTTTTTAAGAAACAGTAAGAAAGCCATCCCGAACAAAGCCTTAGTTTACTAAGAAAGTTTAAGGTTAATTTAAATTAATATTTGATTTTCGTGACTCTATTTCTAAAAAAAATTATTGATGATGACAGTGAAATCTTTTCATCAAGAACCTTCAATTTAAGCCCAAGGGGAGCAAATAAAAAAAAAATTTCTATTGATTGGCATGTAAGATTGATATAACTCCAGAAAATTTATATGATTGATATTAATTTCATGGTAATGTTTGAATTATAAATTTTCAAAATTAAATTTATAACCATCTTAACTTTGATTCAACAAACATATAATTAAACAAACTAACATGTTGATACTATAAGTGATTTGATCCGACTTCAAATGACCTCAAAATAAAGTATTTGAATTATGTTTAAAAACTTTTGAACATAAATTGATGGGCCAAATGTCATCTAATTATTGCATGCTTATAATAGTAGAATCGAGTAACTCGACAAGAAAAACCTAACGAGTTTAAGATCATTCAATTATAACATTGTTAATGCCTTTAGATGTTTAATAAATGACATATGATCGATTAAGAGGATCAATATTTATTATATGATGCAGTGTTTTAGATTTGGTCAAACTTACTAAAATGTCCATCTTAAAAAACCTATAAATAGAGCACTATTCTCTACAAAAAGGAGGGGGAAAAGCTATGAGAACTTAACAACTATTTTGCATTTTCTCACTATCACCGCCAACTACCATCATAAGCAATTGTTGCCACCATCTCCAAACTCATGTCAAAATTTAACCCTGTTGTTGGGTTGTAACTATCAGTCTACAGAGATCTGACTTTTGTAGTCCATATAAGAGAAATCAAATATTTGTTCTCAGATAATCTCATCGTCTTCAACTATAAGGAAAGAATGATTATTGTACTTTCTAATATATAGTGGATTAGTAAACTAGATTAGATCTGGTGATTTTTTTTTTTTTAATTTTTCATAAAGAAATTCTTGTCTCCCTCAACTATTTTCCGTGTGTACTAGATTTTATTAAAAGCTAAATTATAAAATACACACTCTAATGCCGCAAATTTTTAAACACATAATAAAGGTGCTTAAGATTACTCATCAAATATTCAATGTTATGACACTATTAATAGTAATAAGCAGGTACATTTTACTTATAATGTCAATGGTATCAATGTTTGGCATAATACTAAGAAGGAAAACAAA